CAAACTTGACAGGAAAAAACTAGAGGTGTGAGCAAGGGACAAGAAATCTCTGAGTTGGTATTGCACTTTTTAAAAGTATTTGCTCTAAGTAAATGGGTGCTCAAAATACTACTGAATAAAAAGAAAAAATTTAAATGGGTCAAGGTACAACAAGAAAAATGTGTTGATAGGAAGATGTATTCAAGAGCTTCAGAATGAATTGCATTAAAGCGAGTAAAAAGCTAATTTTGAATTAAACCACAGTGGTGATTTTTCCACATGGTAGACATTGTAACAAAACTAAATATTCTAAGATGCTTAGTTTTAGAAAGAAACTACAGGAGGAGAAAAAGCTAGTGAAGGAGATCTGATCTGTCGTTAAGGACCTTTGTTGTGCAACCCTTCAAATATATCTTAACATAGCATGTACTGTATGCCTCGTCTACCAGTGGCGCACAAGTATTCATCTGCTCTTGAGATCACTACAGTTCGGAAAAATAAAGCTTGACATCTAGAACAGCCTGGAAAGATGCAGCCGTGGGCAGCTGATGCCATAGCTCGGGGTCAGTATGCTGTGCCGGCCTGGGGATGCACATGGCAGTAAGACAAGGAGCTCTGTGGTATCCATACAAGCTGTTAGCTGTGGGACAGATGCGCTGACTGCCAGCGATGGGAAAGCTGTCCGTGTTGTGACTGTCCATAAGAAATCCACTTTTGCAGCCATGATGCAACAGCAGGGATCCTCTAAGGAACAACGCACACGCTGTGTTAGGTGGAGTTTAAAGATGGTGATCACATAAAGGGGTTGGGTGTTTTCCATTTTTCCATTTCAGAGGAAAATGGGAGGGAAGAAGCTTTTACTTGCAAATAAGTAGGAAGGGGAAAGAGATTTTATAAATTAATAACTAAGTCTTAAGAGCCTGTTCTTTTTCTCAACTTTTCAAAGGGGTGATACTAATTAACAAAGATACTAAACTTTGAGGTCTGGTATTGGTACAGAAATGCTTGAAAAAAGTCTGTATCATGGTGTTTCTGAGGAGCTGTGTAAGAAAGTGTCATTTCTGCTTTCCTTGATGATATTAGCTTTGCTCAGTCAGTGCTTCAAATAGTTCTGCGGTGACGTAGGAGTATACTTTAAATTACAGGCGTTTGCTCCTGGGAGGGACACATTGTGCTTCTTGGAGTTGCTGCGAAGTGTTTTAATTGGGATACAGGAGATGTACAAAGAGTGTTTGGTGGAGTGCACCTCTCCAAAAGGAACTAGTTCAATTTATTTATGATCTTCTGGTACTTCATTGTTCTTCTTGATTTGATTTTTTTTTTTTTTTTTTAATGTGGAAGTTTGTTACCTTCCTTACTATTGTTTTCCTCGCTTCTCAGTGGTTGGGCAGTCTGGAGGCTGTTCAGAGTTGCCTACTGCTTCGACTCCAGAAGAACAACAAATTTGTTCTTTCTGTTGGATTATGTGACTCGGAAGTGAGCTTTGAACAGGTCGTGCCTTCAGGGCAGGAAGGAAAATAAGAGGTCTGACCATGCAAAAGAAGAGATGTGACTGTGCAAATACATCTAGTAGTTGATTCTGAATCAAGAATGATATACCTTTAGCTGGAGGGGAAGGGAGAGAAGGGAAGAAAGAAAGGAGAAAAAAAGCATTTCAAACACTCAGAAGTTCCAACGAAACACTTTCAGGAATGAAAGGTCATAAAGTATACAGTGATTTAGTTGCAGAGAGTTGACTTGAGATGGATTTTTCATATTCAGTTTATTAAAACTTGCGTTGTTCCATTTGTCAAAATGTAAATACTGACCTGCAAAAACTGGCTGTGAAACTTTTTTTGTAATGGCCTTGTGACTTTAAAGGAAGCAGAAAGCCTCAGCTTCAAGTGCAGTCCGAGATTTCTTCATCCTGATTCGGGGTGACCTCTTCTGTCCCTGGGTCTGACGCTGATGTAACTGCAATCGAGAGTACTTGAAGAGGAGGCCACAGAACAGCTTGCTTTCTGGTGGCTTGGTTTTGCAGCTGTTTACAGACCTCTCCCGAAAGAATGGCAAAAAGAAAAAAAGAAAGACTCTTGGCACCAAGAGACCTGCCTTTCTTCCTTCCTCCAGGGAAAGTGCTGAACTTTGACACTGAACAGAGCCTTATTTTGAGTTCTAGTGTACGCAAAGGGCTAGGAGGATGTCGAAGGTACTTCTGGCACTAGCATGTGATGAAAGCTCTGTGGATACAGACAACTGAGTTTTGTGCATCTCTAGAGATAGTGAATGTGCACAATTGGCATAGAAACCGAGTATGCTGTTAAGCTTTCAGAAAGCAACCGGTTGATGTGGCACAGAAGGAAGGACATGTATTTCATTGTACTTTGTTAGTTTTCAAAAAATCTGAGTGTCTGAAGCACAGTGCTTTTGAGTAAGAACAACAGATGCCTGAATTCGTTGAATCTGCCTACAGACTGCAATTGCAAAGCTGTTGTAACTTACTCCGTTGTAGTGGCTGATAGGATCAGGGATCTTATTTCCTTGGGTGGCAGAGATGGGTGTAAAATTTCTGAGGTTTGTGTTACAAAAATGATTTTATTTGTTGTATCTTCATAGCTCCCTGTAGCTTACAATGAAAACATTCATTTACCATTAATGGCAATATTGGAAACTTTGTGCGTGGTGGTTTTTTTCTAGTATAGGCACCTGCAGCAGAAGTCTCTAATCAAAGTGCTGCTGCAGCTTCTGGTTTTAGGAACCAGTCTTTAAACTGTTTCAGGAGCAACTGAAGAGTTTCCAGCTTTTCACTTCCCTATTCTTTTCAGAATTGGTGCTAAAGGGCATGAGTGGTGCTCTGAGAATGGGCGGTGTTTCCAGACACTGCCAACGTGCAATTTCCATCCCAAGCTGTGCAGCTGACAAACGTTTGATGTTTAATTTCTGGTCTGCTAAATAGATTGTCAGGCAGCAGATCCATGTACTGTTACAACCAGCATAAAGACCTTGCTTGAGGAATCGGAAAATGAAGATAGTGCAGAAACCAAGAGATTTTTGTGAAGACAATGTACTTATTTTCCCCTGTTAATTTGCCCGTATGGGAATGAAGTGCTCTCAAATATTTAAAAACTGGTTGGTTTTTTTCATTTTGCTTTGCAGAAGTGTATTAATGTCTGTTTAACTGTCAGACATTTCTGTGGGAAAGAAGAGGGAGTATTCAGCTGTTCTCTGTCTATGTAAATGAGAAAATGTCTTTAGAAATTATGCTATTAAGAAACTGATTCTCTTAATCTACAGGGCTCTACACTGAAACTATTTTTAGTTTATTTTTAGAAACTCATTACTTCTTTCGAAGATAGAAAAAATGTTAGTGGAAGGAGCCTTAATACTTACATAGATAAGATGGACTTTAATTTGTTCCCCCCCCTCAGAGAAAATAATATGTGTTTCCTGTTGCTTTACTTAAAATAATTTGTTTAGATTAATGGGAAATGTTAAACATTATCAGTCTTTTAAAGTGGTTGATCTTATATCATTCAGCTTGGAACAAAATAACTGTTGCTTCCTGTGGTAGAAAACTGTCTGTGGTAATGACAGTTGTGCGTATCATATCTGTTTTGCTCGATGAGAGAAGAGTTTGGGGCTCTTTCTGAGAGTGCAAGAGCTTCCAGGGGCGAGTAAGCTTTGCTGGGCAGAAACATGAACAACCAGAGATTGGATTCCTCGTGTGTATGGACTTAGGGGTCATTATGAATCTTGGGGGGGAAAACCAACATTACTCTGACAGTCACTGACAGTCTTTAATTTAAGAAAATCGCTTTTCATCTTACTTTCCATACATTGTAGCTCAATGTGTGTCCTGTTTTCCTTGTGTGTTCTTAAGTAGTGCACAGGAGGGGAGGGCAGGATATTCTTACTTGCGGGGCAGTGTTGGTTTAAAAATTTTCTGGTTTTCCTGTTAGGGGAAGGATGTCTTAGGGATGGCTTTGGTTACGAATGGGAGAGCAGGAAATCAAATTGCTAAGGTGCTTGCTCAGCTTATGTGAAACACTCTCTGCTGAGGATCACAGGAAGAAAAAGGGGCTGGATTTGGTGACCAAGATCTGCTTTGCAGTGCCTTGCTGTGATATTTCTAGTGTCGGTGTAGGTCAATATTGCAATCCAAATGTCCCTGTCCATATGCGGACCTTACACTTACTAATGCAGGTGATCCTGTGCTGCGTTTCTCCTAAAATGAATGCGGCATTTAGAATTAGAATGTTGAAATGCCCTTGGGAGCAATCTAGCCTGTGGGATGGTTTCTGTCAAGCAAAAAAAGAAAGGGGAGGGCTGGATTGTTGGAAGACAGGCTCTGCACAATGATGGTATAGGCATAAAAATAAATCTTTTTGTTGCATTCGCTGTGTATAAATTCTGTAGAGCTATGCTTTATACAGGTGCCAAACTTAACGATGAAGTAACTGGAGTGCTGCAGGAGATGGAGGTGCATCTCATCCATATTAACATACTCTGCTGGGTTAGCTGTGATACCTCACTGTGCTGCGAAGACGTATTCTTTGAGGCTGAAGTTACATTATCTACAGTCTCACCAGTATGATTCTTTGCAGAGGCAGTCTCGGCCTGAATACAAACCTATTTACATTTTGTCTCTTACTCGGTTTGCTTCTCTATGGTGACTGTAACTTCCTGTATTTCTTTTTTTCTTCCATTGCTTTGTGCCTCCGCGACTGTTGGAACAATGTGCTGGTGAGATCAGAGAATGGCGCCTTTCTCCCCATGTGTGTGTAGCTGTGCAACCGGCCATGCAGGCCTGCTGTCTGGTACTGTTTGCGGGTCAGAGCTGTACAGACAAATGCTGATGCTGGCATTGGCTTTCCGGGCTGTACAGTTATGTAATTGCAGCCTTTATGTTGTTGCTATGGAACTATTCAATAATTAAAATAGGCAACTTCTTTTGAAGGCTTGCCTTTCAGAAAGAATTTATTTCTAGCAAGCTGTTAACCATGTTTCTGTCTCTAACCCTTTTCTCTTTAAACAGGAAGAAAATGAACCTGAAATCTGAACGCAGAGGAATTCACGTTGATCAGTCGGAGCTACTGTGCAAGAAGGGATGTGGTTACTATGGCAATCCTGCTTGGCAGGGATTTTGCTCCAAGTGCTGGAGAGAGGAATACCATAAGGCCAGGCAGAAACAGATTCAAGAGGATTGGGAGCTGGCAGAGCGGTAAAGAGCTCCCTTTATTCCTTCCTCTTCTACAGTAGGGTGACTTCACTAAACACTATTCCTGTCTCCTATTTTCTAGTCCTATGTGCTCTGGCTCAGTTTCTTCACAATTTTTATGATATTTTAATTTAAGAGGTTTCAAAAGAAAGTCTGTGAAGTAACAAATGGAAACACCCCCAACCGCTCAACAAATACTTTGACCTGATTTGCATACTGAAATCTGTAATTCTACCTAGCAGTTGGAAGGGTGAAGGTGACAATTTTGATTAAAATACCTCTGCCTCTGAAGACCGCAGTTGTTGTCTTGAATATAGCCAGCACAATGGTTTTACATTTCAGCTACTGATGAAAAAAATGGTTCTAATCTTGCCTGTCATTGTTCTTTTAAACTGCAGGGTTAAATCCCAAAGCATAAAAGCTTTAGCTTTAATAATTTAGGTAATTTTTCTAAGCATGTGTTTTCTGCAAAACAGTCTAGTTTTCTTAGTGTGATAAATGCTTCACCCTGAAAATGGGTGTTGGAGGAAATCTGTCCTTGATTAAGAAAATAAGAGCAGCTACAACAGGACTGGCTAGAAAGCAAAAGCATTATGCACTGCCTGAGAAACTGCAAAGCATCTTCGTTTGTACTACAGCTGCCCTGTGTGTCACTTCCAGGTGTGAGTTACAGGACATCCACTCAAAATTAACTGCTTCAGGGTTATGCGAATTCTTGAGATGGAGGAGCATCCAGCTGTGTATTGAATTGATTGAGTTGAATTGAGCTGGCCAAGATGTTTGTTCATGTTCACACAGACTCTCTACATATGCTTACCTTAATGTATTAGTGGTATATGCCAGAACCCTAGGCAGAAGTACAAATGCCTGAGATGTCTGCACTCGAATTTGGAAGCCTTCGGTGAACTTGAGTTACGTAGTGATACCTTACCCAAGGTCACTGGAGGGGAGTGGGGGGGGAGAGCAGAAATAAAAATACAGAAAAGGCATTTAAGTGCACTGTTCACATCAGCCTGCCTGAAGAAGGTGACATCTGTGGAAGCTCTCTGAACTTGAGCTGGGTTCAAACTGATGGTTGTAGTTTGGAATCTGTAAGTTTTCTGGTATCGAACTACCCTTGACCACCCTACCTTTAGTTTGTTTTTAAAGTTCTCTGCTGTCTGGCACTGATACAAATTAACTGCAAAGAAAGGTAGAAAGAAGTGCTTGAAACCTTTTCTAGCCTAATCGGAAGGTGCCAGGTAGGCTGCTGAGTACAGTACAGAGGACATGTCTTTTTTATCTTCTGCCAGTATTGGCAATTTAAGCCAAATTTGGCTTAAACAATAAAAACTTCAATATTATTAGAACACATAGTTATACTGTCAGTCATACAACATCTGTGTACAATAAAGTGGGGCATTTAAGGAATTCTTTGATAAGTAACTGTTCGGTAGGGAGATGCTGGAGGAACAGATAGGCTGTGATTGTTTGTTGTAGTGAACAGACTGGCTTCTCAGCACAGATCAGATACAATTCCTGCCTCAGGAGGTTGCAAATGCAAGGCCATTTATGGTCCATCCTGAGCTGGATGGATGTTTAAAAAAAATTGCTCAATCTTTTAGCATCTTCAAGGGCAATATAATTTAACCTATTTTAATCCTCCTGCGTAGAAAGAAAAGTAGCTGTTGAAGAATTAGTATGTTTGCCCCCCGCTGCTTTGTACGTGTAGATTAAAAGATGGACTTCGTCTTTGCAAAGCACCCATCAGTGTTGCAGTGAAGTGGTTTGCCTCATTCATTCAAGCAAGCATTTGTATTACCAAGACTTTGAAAACAAATTCTGACAACAATGATCTATTTTCCAGAATATTTCTGGGATTGTGACAGGGTATTTCACTTGCTCAGCTGCGAGCCATGGTTTTTATCTTCAGTGAAATGGTAAAGGATTGCCTGTGGTAATAGGCTGTGAAACTCGGAACACGATGCAGGGAGGAAGGCAACTAAATCGATTATTGGAAGTCCTCCCACAGTCTTTCCCCTCACCTCTACCTTTGTAGAATTCAGAGTTGTGACATGAGGGGAAGGTGACCATGATTATGCTTCAGTCCCCTCCCTTTTGACCTTACTGTTCAATCCTCCCTGTCCATCTTAAGCTTTCCCTCACTTTCACTATTGCAACATGAAAAGAGTGGACATAATGTGGTGAAGGGAGATGTGAGAGGAAGCAAGAAGTGAAGATGGGCGTTGAGGAGAATTAGCTTGTCAAATGAGTAATTAATTTATTGTACAGTAATAAATAAATAAAAGTGTATTTGTGCTTGTTTTAAGCACTGAAATTAGACCTATGTTTTTCTAATTCCAGGCTTCAGCGTGAGGAGGAAGAAGCATATGCCAGTAGTCAGAGTACCCAAGGGGCGCAATCCCTGACCTTTTCAAAATTTGAAGAAAAGAAAACCAATGAGAAAACACGAAAGGTCACAACTGTGAAGAAGTTCTTCACTGCTTCTTCCAGGACAGGAGCTAAGAAGGGTAACTTTCCCCTTTGCTTTTAATGGTTCTATACAACATTTTAAGTAAAAAAAGTATTTTTGATTGATGTATAGTGCTAAAAGGCAGTAGTAGTGCTCTGTGACTTGACTTTAAAAAGTTGGAATAATGTTGCTTCTGGAGAGTGATTGCTATATGTGAAATCTTACTGAAAACAGAGGAATACATGAGCATTTGGGCGATGCCAGATAATCTTTTAAATAGAACAGTGCACTTCCAAACCTGTGGCTGTGTTTGTGTTAGTTACACAGGAGTTCTTCCACTGAAGTGTAGTATGAACGTATTCCTGGGGGTGGCTTGCCACTGCACTGCTGAGTGGAAGTATCTTGTTTGTATGATGCACATTCTTGCTAGATTCATGAGTCAACCATAGTGTGATGCTGCGGTTTAGGACTTGAAGGGGATCTCTGCCTGGAGAAAGCAGGAGAAAAGGTACTGGCTGTCAGTCATCTCAAACTGATATGCCTAAGTGTGACAGAAATGCTGATACAAACTATCAGGTGGTGCTGCCATAATGGATCACTTCAACAGCTTTCACAGAAAAAATGGAATGTGTAAACAGGGGGCCTTTAAATGAAAATAAATGTGAAAGGAAATGTAGTATTTATGTGTATGTGGGTAGTGAATATCAGGTTTGTGGTTGGCTTAATGTTTGTTCTACAGCATGTGTTACAAGTAAGAATGATTAATGGCACTGATGCCTTTGCATAGCAATAGCTTACACGGGCAAAAACTGGAAAATACTAGACTGTGGAGGAGGCATTCCAGAAGAAAAAGCAATGTTAATATATCTTAGCCTTATAGATGATGCATTTCCTTAATAAGAAGTTCTGAATATGTCTGGATTTCACCTTAGAATTTGTCTTGGTGCATGGGCAGCAGCTGGCTAAATGAGGCATTCAGCTATGTATTAAGAAATTTTTTTTATGTTCATTCTTATCACTTTCCACATTTTCTTTTTTTATCCTGTTCATCGTTTCTCCTGACATGCTCCTGGTCTTGGTGTCTTGCTTGCTTGTGCATTTATTTCAGCGGCTCAAGAGAAAATCGTTAAGCAAGGACAGCTTGGGAGGGAGCGAAATGCTGATAACATTCTCAGGGATTTGAAGGAGATTTTTACTCCCTCCTGGGAACTGGCTTCCCCTACTGAAGGTAATGCAGTACAGCTTGAGCAAGCTGTCTGCTTGATTTTAGTAAGCTTATTTCTTAGCTGGGCTTTGCAAAATACAAACTAGGGTTGTGCCAGTTATAACTTGTGCTGTTGAATATGAAGATGACCAAAAAAAGGAAGTCTAGCATCTTGAAGTGAACTTGAATCTCTAAACCAATTCTTTTCTTTTTGGTAGGGAGAGTGTAGGAATAAAGCTGAGGTGTCTTTGAGGTCTGCCTTAGCGTGACATCTGAAGGATTCTGTGGTTTCAAAAAGATAAGAATTTTCTAAGAAGTAGCTAGATCTTGTGCTGCTTCATATTTTTCACAAAAAATAAGGTTGCCATTATAAATCTGATTATAAGTTGAAACTACTTCAGTTTAATAGTTCACACTTCAAGAACTTTTGCATTCTCAAAACATCTCCAGATGTTTGTTATATTAATCAGGAAGACAATTTTGTATCAAGAGAAGACATACAGGTTTTATTTGAACCAAAAGGACGCCAAAACCCTTGATGCAAACAGCTTTAGGATCTTGTCCTATTCTACTTGTTTGCAATTCTGACGTGTTCTGCTGACTAAAGAAATTTGAAGATGTACCATTCTTTTATTCTGCAAATTATATGAAGATGATGAATAGGTGTGTCTAGTAGAGTTAATGACGACACTTTTTTATATATTCTTTACTTGAACTCAGATCCATGACCATGGCACAACCATAGTGAATCACTGGAGTGCTAATGTTCTGCTGTGACAACTAGCATTTCTGTAGAATGCCTTGAGAAAGATTTTAATATTAATAGTGTTTATTCTTTGTAAAGGAGATCCTTTCTTAACTCTTCCCATACTCTTTCTTTTCATTTTGGCATATCTCCTCTACTAGGTTCTCAGCTTCTTCAAATGGAATTTCTTTTCTGTAATCAGCTTCTTTTTAGCTAGTCTTAATTCTTTTAGAGTACATGACAAAGCTGAAAATATTTTGTTGCTGAAAGTACATTTGTTCCTGCAGTCCGTAGTAATCGGTGCATATTGTACAGATTCGTTTTCCTTAAATCAGGATTTCGATGCAGAGATGAACAAAGTTGTGACGTTTCTGAGTGACTACATGTAGTTCTTGGTGTGACTCATTAAAAAGGCAGTTTATTCTAACATTCAAATTTTTATTGCTGACATTAACAGTAATCTGCCTCAGTTTACTACATCTCTCTAGCAACTAAAAAATAATTTATTGTAAATTTGTGACTAAAAAAAATCATATTCCTAAAGGTCAAATAGCAGAATGAGGTTAATTATTTTTATAATACAGTGAAATCGTGTTGAAATAAGTAAATAAGTCTTCAGCTGTTCTTTGAAAGAAAGTCAGTGGAAAAAATTGTGGAAAAAAATCTTAGAATACTTTCAAAAGTATACCCGCTTTCTTTGTTTATGATTTCAAAACTATCTCTCATCTTACTGGTTGTGTAATATTAAATGTGACAAATTTGGATCAACACATAGTAATCATTGCTGTTCAGCTTTAATACTGTACAGGCATCCTACTTTGAATCTTGGGTATAAAGAAGCTTGGAGGAAATCCCCTCTGGAAAAAGTGTTCTTGTGTAATTAGAAAGGAGATTAATTTGCACTTTCTATCTTGATTGCTACAGTTGGAATTTTAAATATTTGTAAAACCTTTTCTATTCTTATCGCTTAAATAACATTAATGTTCTAATGGTACCTGACCAAGTTGTTACCCAGAGAAGGTTGTGCTGAAGTGTAGAGGTCCTAACGAGTCTTGTGCTTTGGTCAGATGATCAGTGCCTGTTAGTCACTGGATCATACAGCTTAGAATTTACTGTAGTGCTGGATTTCTTCAAAAGCAGATAACAACAAACAAACAAAAAAACCTGTAAGCTACCTCAAGTCCAAATTAAACATACCAACTTAACCATACTAATCCCATTTATTTCCTTTTATTTTGGAGTTCTGCATGTATGCTCATTTAAACAAGGATTTTTTTGTTGTGCATGTTAGTATTTTCAGGTTGAAAGATATGTTTGTATCCTGTTGATCATGAATATTTTCATGTTTTCTGTCTCTCTGCTGCTTGCTTTTCATCACGTTCATTTACATCATCTCTATTCAATCCTTCATTTTGAACAGTGTTGGCTGGCAAGTTGAAAGGTGGGTGAACTAAACTTGGGCAGCGAAGGTATTGGATCAGTACAATTAACTTGCAGCATATACCTCAGAAAATCAGATGTGCTTGTGTGGAAAAACCCCCTGGTTGCAGCTATATAAACTTGCATCCAGTGCTGTGTGCAGTCTGTGTTCCTACCTCCGTCTTGAGTGCCAAGCAAATTCTTGAACGGATGCGGTGCTTCTGCTCTTGCTGAAACACAAATGGCCAAGTTCTCATTTACACTGCAGGTGTGGTGCTGTGGTATCTGCTGCCCAGCCAAAGCAGGGCTGCTGCGTTTGCACCAACCTCACGCTTCCATTCCCTGTCTTGTGCTGCTGTGACCTTGTACGAAGCCAGCCTGGGGAGCTGATCACGCTGAAAAATAACCCCATAAGAAACCCTGATTTCTGAGTAGAACTGCCCCAAACTGCTGCTCCCTGAGGCTAGTTCATGAGCCAGTCGAATGAATACTTGTGTTGGTGCAAGCAAAGGAGCAGGGATGTAAAGAAAAAAAGGAATGTAAAGGTGAACGAGAACGGAAAAGGGACCACTCTGTTATCTTAAACTGCTGCAGAATCCCGTCTGGAAGGCTTGACCTTATATGGAGAATGACCTTACCTGGGAATGAAAACATACGAAAGCAGAAAACAAACCCATGTTAGAGTGATTTGATAATATAAAAAGGCCATTAGTGTAAATGGGTATGTGGCTATAAATGTTTCACTTCAGTGGAATACTCAGTTTCCTAGAGTTCTGTTCAATAATATCCAGCATTTCCTGGTAAAGCTTGAGAAATAAATGCTTATTCATCTGCGCAGTTGAAAAAACCAACATGAAATTTTAATAAACATTACAGCGCTTCTGGAATTCATCCATTGGTGTAAAAAAACTAATCTGATGTGCCCACATTTTCCCAGCAGAGATCCAAGAAGCCAAGGCTCCCAGCCCTTCTATAAACAGGCAGGCTAGCATCGAGACAGATCGAGTATCCAAGGAATTCATAGAATTTCTCAAGACATATCATAAACCTGGACAAGATATCTATAAGCAGTGTAAACTATTTTTGGACGCAATGAATCATAAAAGGGTAAGTTTTGCATGTGTTTTACATATATAAAATGAGGATATTGGGGGATAGATGGAGAAAATACTGCTCGTTATCCAGCAGTTCAGTTTTTATATATGGTATACAGGAGTCTTCAGCTGATATGCTTAGTCAAATGAAGATCTAGTGGATTGTGAATACCTTCCTTTTTGGTATGGTATATGACCAAAGAAACCCTCCAACCCCATTATCTTGGGTGTTTTGAGAGAATTTTCCTTTGCATCCTGAATAAATTAGTCCTGAAAGACAAAATGTCTGTTGAACAAATAATTTTCTGGATAAATACAACTCGTGGAAGTTGTAATATATTACACAGTGAGTTCTTAGGTATCTTAAATCTAGAAAGTTATAAAGATAACACAGTACGAAACCACACCTCCTTTTCCCTGGGGAAGGGGAACTTGACTCTGCTTTTTTTAAAAATATGGAATGAGGGTTGCATCTTCAGTCTCCATATAAAAAAAATTAATGTTCTTGAAATATTAATGTGTCTGTAGTGCCACCTATTGTTGAAATGAGTCAGTGTTCGACAACCTTCCCCCCCTTTCCTATTTAGTATGTAGTTACTCAAATTATATCCTCAGATTGGACTAGAAATGAAAGGGAGTTCTGATGGAATCTTACATGCCCTCCACTTTGGAAATGTCTTGAAGTTTGTTTTGTTTTTTTTTTTTTTTCTTTTAGAAAGGATTCATTCTGAGCATAGAGTTTGTGAAAATAGTGTGTTATGAGAGTACCTTCAATGTTTATAACCAATAATTTCCAGGTTCCTTGATAGTTTGTGCTAATGGAAAAGAAGTCTTTCTAGTGAAAAAGAAGTCTTTCTTAGTCTGCTAGATGTAAACCAGGCCTAAAATGCAGCAGAGCTGAGACTTCGTGTTCAGGAGAACTGTCTAGTTTTTGGCCTTAAGAGAATTCAGAAATAAAGTTCTCTCCATTTTTTTTCTTTTTTTTCAATGTACGGTTTTATGCTGCCATTTAATGGTGAAAAGTGACTTGATCGGTAAAGTTAATTTTAACCCTTCAAACCTCCACTGTGTTCTTCGGTAGCTCAGTTAATGCCCAAAAGACAATGTCATATCGCAAGTAACATTATGAGTGTATTTCATAGTAACTTTATCATTAGAAGTGTTTACTGTATAGATATTCTTTCAAATCTGTTATGTTCTTGGGTTTTTGGTATACTGTTTATCATCTTTTAAATTGTTACAGAGACAAAATTGGGAGCAAGCATTCTGCTTAAGTCTGCATTATTTTGTCACCGTTACTCAGGGATGTGTCTGGGGAAAATGGCATTGGACCTGTCCAGTTCCATTGCTAATACACATCTGTTCAGCAAATAAACATAAGCCTTTCACTTGTTAAGGTGCCAGTGTGTCTTGGTTTCTCATATTTTTTAATACAATTCAGCCAATATAAACACCTCTGTGATATATTTGCATTCTCAGACTGTTACTGCAGCTGGACACTTTTCTTAAACAAAAACAAACCTTCAGAGGCATGAACTGCCATTTCTTCCACATGCACATTTATTCAGTGTTCTGTTACAGGACTTAAGTATTGAGGAGCAATCTGAATGTGCCCAGGACTTCTATCAAAATGTAGCAGAGAAATTACAGACACGTTGGAAAGGTACCATGTTCCTCTTCCTCATGTCTTACTGCTGAAAAAGTAATGTTTTGAGGATAAAACCGCTTGCATTTTAAAGTAAAAATGAAACATTCCTAACTAGCTGTCAGAAACACTGTTAACAAATTCTAGTACCATAGTTAGAACTATTCCCGGCAGCACCAGTTCTAGGAAGTTTTGAAGTCTAAGTTATTTGGTTTTACAGGTTTTTCTTAAATGCTCAATTAAATGTGGTTCAGTTGTTTTCATTTCTTGCTTTAAATTCAATACTATTTGTTTAAAACTGAGGTTGAATGCGTAGCCTCAACCCAATCAACAGGCTGTAAGCCTTAATGTTACCCAGAAAGTCAGTGAGAGGGTAGTGTTGCTGTGCCTGGTGTGGAAGTGGCACAGCTTAAACATATCCAGAGATTTTTTTAGACATAAACAGGAACAGAGGACTTGGAAGATCTCACTGGATTTATTCTCAAAGACTGTATTTTCAAGAAATATTCTTGTAAACTACGAGCAGCTGAACCTAATTTGTGTGTTGAATGTGCTTCATTGTGAACCTATGCATGTGCTTACTTTGGCATGTCACAGTGGTGTTCTCGCCGTTGTATTTTTACTTCTGCTGTAGAGAATGAAAATACTCCAAGTATATCCATTCTTTATTAATTCAGGTTGGCTCAAGTCAGTAGTACTGATCTGGCGATATTAGGACCAATCTTCAAAACAGCCACGGAATACTTTATTTACTGTATTGGGGTGGGATTTGTACCTTTCAGTGCCCCCTGAAAAAGTGGAGAAAGCAATGGATCAGATTGAAAAATACATTATGACTCGACAGTATAAATATGTCTTTTGCCCTGAAACAACTGATGATGAGAAGAAAGATCTCGCTGTCCAAAAGAGAATCAGGTAAATCTTTGAAAGAAAAACATTTGAGTAATCTGCAGTCCTGTGAATGAGCTCTGAATCAAACATGTTAAAAATGTTTTGCTGTACATACAAAAATGGCAAGCTTTTTAACTGGAAAGAGTTAAAACCACTTTATTTAAGAAACAGAAAGGACTAAATAGAGTGAATGATGAAAGCTACTATGTTAGGAAAACTAATTGGTGTGCTTTTGTTAATTCACAGCAAAAAAAGAAAATATTTTTTATGGAAATAAATTACTTCAGTGGAATAAACTAGCTTATAACTGGACTAGTGCCTCATTTACACAAAGCACTCCTTGTGCCTTGAATTCAAGAAGTAGCTGGTTTCAAACACCTGAGTGTGTGTTAAATGTGCTTCAGAACATCTTTAACGGTTTTTCTTGTTATAGGGCTTTGCACTGGGTAACTCCACAGATGCTGTGTGTTCCTGTCAATGAAGAAATTCCAGAAGTCTCTGATATGGTTGTAAAAGCAATTACAGGTTTGTGAACAATGAAGTTTACATTTACAGCTTAAAATTTCGTATCTCTTGTTCACTGAGATTATTTTCTGCTGTCATCAGAAGGGAGTCCAGGCTTTTAGATTTGCAGTAGTCTCTGTGGTATTAGACTATCATCTGTGAAGCGGAAATCATTTTTCTATCACAGGAGTGACAGGCTTACCCGATCTGTTTGAAATGCTTGGACTGAACCAAGAGAACGTTGAACAAACAGATAATTCCATGGAACAGCAAGCACCACAGATAAAAATAAATGCAGTTTTAGTATTGTCCAGTGAGTGTCCTACTCATTCAGGTGTCTGACTAATATGGCTTTAATGATTTGAGAACTTTTTTATCTTACAGATATTATTGAAATGGATTCAAAGCGTGTGCCTCGTGATAAATTAGCATGCATCACCAAGTGCAGCAAGCATATATTTAATGCTATTAAAATCACAAAAAATGAACCAGCTTCTGCTGATGACTTTCTTCCAACACTTATATACATTGTTTTGAAGGGAAACCCACCCCGCCTGCAGTCTAACATCCAGTATATAACACGCTTCTGTAATCCAAGCAGGTTAATGACAGGAGAAGACGGCTACTATTTTACCAATCTGGTAAGTGCAGGAGTAGTGTTGACATCTCGTACAACAAGATGGTCTTTGATTTGGATGTCAGAATTTCCAGTAAAGGCGGACACAGCCTAACATAGAAGGAAAATTAAAACTAATTTTCGAATAGTGGTTGAGGTTCCTTAGAGTACGGCAAGCTCTTTTGCTTTGTATCTCCTCTCTCTTCATTCTCAGCTTTCCACACCAAGCAGTGCTTTGCTTTCTGTATAATATTAAACTCTTTATTTGAACAGTCTGATGCTAAGACTTGGGTATGTTTTTATTCTATAAGGCGATAAGTGTTTTCAGTTCCTAACATCCCGAGTTTGGACTGTGCAGATGTTATGGATGCAAAGTTGCCCATTTAAGCCCGTTAGTTTATCTCTCGAAGGGCCTGCAGAACTAGGCCATTCATGTGTGGAGGTAAACAGGCTTTTCAAAGCTTCTGCAGGTGACTTTTATTTGTGTGCTTGTTTATATTAAAGGGAATTATGAACTTGGCTTCTTTGCATTTCATTGTAAAGCAATTCTCAAAAATACGTAGTTGAATGAAATACTTGGAATGTTAAAAGGTCCTTGCAGTAGGAGAAGAGCATCCACAAGGTAAAATGGGCATTTGACATCCCTTCCTTCGGAAAATTAACAGAGAGCATAGCAGATCTCTGCTGATCAGATTATTAAACATTAATATACTGCTCCTGTGTAGTTGTCATGTTTTCTGTTCTCTGACCTCCAAAATGCAGTGACCCTGAGGTTTGTAGTGTAGATTATTCAGTGAGTCCATACTGTTCAGCTGAAGTGGTGTTCTCCTTTATTGTTTTCGACTTCTTCACACTCTGGGGAGAGGAGAGAAGCATGTGAACTGAGTGATACAGTTAACTTCTGGAAAAGCTCTTTAGGAGCAATCTGAGACATTAAATAAAATAATCAGTTACTGGTCTAACGGCAGATTTAAAAAAATAGAACGCGTAAGTTCCAGTCTGTAGCTTGCAATGATACTCGTGCTCTGCTTTGTTTGTAGTGCTGTGCTGTGGCCTTCATTGAAAAACTGGATGCTCAGTCCTTAAATCTAAGCCAAGAAGATTTTGATCGCTTTATGACGGGTCAGACGTCCCCGAAGAAGCAAGAATCTGACAGTTTTTCACCTGATGTGTGCCTCGGTGTTAAGCAAATGTATAAAAACTTAGACCTTCTGTCTCAATTGAATGAGAGACAGGAAAGAATTGTCAGTGAAGCCAAGAAGCTTGAGAAAGACCTAATAGATTGGACTGATGGAATCACAAAGGAGGTCCAAGATATTGTTGAGAAATACCCTTTAGAAATAAAACCAAAAAATCAAGCCTTAGCAGCTATTGACTCTGAAAACGTGGAGAATGACAAGCTGCCCCCACCACTGCAGCCTCAGGTTTATGCAGGATAATTAGCAGTGTTAACTTTGAAAAGCATCATTATCCTCACCTAGTACTATCTGCTACTTGGGAAGGGGAGTAAATGTAAGGCTAAAAATCAGTTGAGCTTAAATCAGTACATTTTTAAAGGTACTTTTTTGTTGTTAAGTGTAATGAATTGTATTTATTTTAGTCAAGTAAATTTCTATTAGGCTTTTGTGGGTTTTTGAACTGAATTTAAATTTTCTACACAAAACAGTGTAATTTTTAAGCAACACTAGTCCATTGACATCTTTCCTGAAAGCTTCCTTCTAGGCATGCATTTACTTGTTTTTAATAATTAGTTTAACTTGAATTCGAGTTTGAGGAGAAACTCAAAAGGTACTAATGTTAGTCTGAATTTATTCTGTAGCTGTAAAGATGAAATATATATTGTAAAATATGTAAAATTGTAAATAGATTTAAAATCTAATGTCTCAACTGTGCATGACATCTTGTCTCTTGAGTGAAAATGATATGAAATGTTCATTTTGGCACCTTTCAATTAAATCATGTTGCAGTATAAAGGCAAGTACATTGTTAATGTTTCAGTAAGCTAGATGGTATAACTGATGAGTTACAGAGAGAGAGGATATTGTTGTGATGATTTGAAAACTGGGCATCTCAAAAACTGCTCTGTAAAAAGAAAAAAGTGCCATTTAAAATATGACATTTTTTCATGTAAACGTTATCTCTGCTTTATCAGTATGCCTGATAGCCTTCAGTGGTGCACATCAGTGCTGATACTACTGTTGAGCCAGGCTTCAAAAATAGGAAGAAATATTTGCATTAAAAATTGCATAATGTGGAACAAAAAGGGAGGGGGGGAAGGACATGGTGCAAGATTTGCTCCAAAAGTGGCTTTCTTTTCTGGCATTGCCTCGTGGTTTCCATCAGTCTTGATTGCTTTTTTGACAGTCCTGGTAGAGAAGTAAGTTCATATAATTGGAGGCTGCTTTTCTGAAGAAGCATGAGCCATTGCTCTGAGCAGAAAAGCGGACTTTATTTTCACAAAACATCAATCTTCTGATCCTTAGCGACCCTCTGTAGCAAAGGGAGTTACCATGCTAAAGCGTTGAACATCAAGGTAAATACGGCTTTATGTCACCAAAAGTTAAAATCGGTGTATTTCAATTTAAGAATAGTAGCTCACTCTGCAAAAAGTAACCTCTTGAAATATAACTTTTTTATGCCAGTGAAACATTTTATATATTTTAAATATCTTCCAGTTAATCCAGTCTGCCATGATTTGTTTGTGTACCTGAGATATCTCAACATAAAGCTACTTAGCTTGAACTGTTTTTAAGCAATGTTAAATTCTTACCCCCAAGGAGGAAAGTACCTACCTCTTTATTATGTTCCACTGCTTTAAAAACACTGCTATTTTAAATTTGCACTGCAATAATTTCAGACCACAACTGTGATTTGTCCCTTTTTGTCAAATGTATTTATTTAGCCTTATGAACTATGCATTCCTAGCGTTTCAGAGAGAGCCAGTTTCCCCGAACTCCACTGCTGAGGTGAAGTAATGAGCTAATTGGAGATCACAAGAAATTAGGTTATTTAATATATCCATGTGTCACTGCGCCCACATTGCTTAATCTGACCCGTGCTTGCAGTAAATAATACTGTAAAGTCTTTATTTTCTTTATAAACACTAGGTGCTAATTTTGATATCAGGTACACAGGTTTTCCTGAGGGGAGGGGAAAAATGCGCAAACTCTCAGCTGTTGTGTAAATTGCCATGTTTAAATAAAAGTGCATACGTTATGGCCTTGGTAATGAGTTCCTAAGGATGTCGTCACTGGGTTTTGTTACACTGTTAATGATTAATGTGAATATAATTGTGACCGTTTCTTCATTCCCTGTGTTTTGGGAGACACAATTCTTAGCCATTCAAGTGCAAGTCTAGGTAACAATGTCTTTTTTTCATTGTAGAAGGATCATTGTAGTTATTAAGTACTTAAGAACGACTTGCTGGTGCATTTGTAGTAAAGTATCTCTTATTCATATGCCATCTTGTTATCAAGCCACTAAAGTGGGTGTTTTCAGCAAACAAATCCTCCGGAATCCCCCTTAAGGCAGGTAAGAAGGATTTCCATACCCCCTCTAACAGTTAGCTAGCAGGAGTGATTTGCTCCTAGCCGTAGTGTCGCCTGGGTAGGAACAACGCTGGGAGCAGCTCTCGCAGGCACTGGCATTGTAGTTGGATATGCTCTACGACTTTGTCTGTGTCTTACTACGCAAATGACCTGTCTGTAGGTAAAACAGGTGAATAGTTTTTTGCCTTACTTAAAAGTAAGGTAGTTCAGTTGCCGTAGTAATAACTGCAGAGTATTTTTCAATGTTTAAAAATTCAGATTGGGAAACCATCACGCACAGGGCGCTGTGAGAAGCAGCTGGCTGGGCTGGGAAGATGCCGCGTCAGTTCTGGGCTCAGTGTGAGCTGGTGAACGCTGTGTAAGCAGGACCCGACTGGCTTGGCACTGGGCATCACTGCGGTGCGGGGGTGCTCTGGTCTCACAGGCAAGTTTGGGGTGAGAGTCAGTGAGAGACCCCAGCGACGCAGGAAGTTGTGAAATGGTATCTATGAGCAAGTTACTTGTGAACCAGAGAGTTTAATTGAAATACTGTCTTACGGTGAATTGGAATACAGGCTGCTGTGCTCGGGTGACAGTCACAGTATCAGAAAGTTGGTTTTTTCAACATCTGAGTACTAGTTCAGTAGTACTGAAAATGAAGACTGCAGCTCCTTACTAGGAATCGGAACTTACGTTGTAAATTACTTCTCTGCATGTGAACTCCCTGCTTATTTTGCTGTAGTAAAGAAGATATTTTACTGGAAGTACTGCTTAATTAAACTGTACGACATCTTTGGTTTCACATAACTGAATTATGAAATTAAATTGATTCTTCTACCCGGTTACCACCACTGTTTACAAAGTCTCTGGTGTATATTCTCATGTGGCTGGATGTCTCGTGCTTGAAGCAGGGAGGCACAGATAGATGCTGGTACATACAGCTAGTGCTATTTAAGGGCAATTTGGAAAAAAGGGGTTAAGAGTGTTGCGGGGAGAAGCGGCAGTGTTCTGTCTGATAAAAGGACTGAACCTTGGAGGCTTGTACGCTATAGGGACTGCGACAGGGCAAACCAGTTAGCTACTTCCTCTGGGCATCCAGTAGATTAATGTGTCCTTTTCCTTTATCCACAGCCACCATCCTTCTGTCAGAGACGTGTACAGAATGGCTCTATACGTTTTTAATTGTCTGCGAGGCTTGCCAGATGTGCATTGGCAGTGCTACCTCCTGCCTTCTGCAGGCCTCGGTCATGAAGAGTTGTTAACGAAGGGCACTAATTCAGCGCTGTCCTTGGACACCTTCGAAGGCAGGGTGACTTCTGACCCTTCTCCGCTCCAGCGAAGGGCTGTAGCTTTACCTTCCCAAAGCACCACCGCCCTTCCCTCTCCTTCTGGCCGCTTTCCCTCCAGCTGGGCCCAGGGCTGCAGCTGCCCTTGCTCTGCCATGGCCTGAGGGGCTGCGGGAGCTTGGGGGGGCGG